CAGAACAAACGTGGCAGACTTGTTACTTACTTGTTCAGATGACAATATACGGTGAACATTTTTATTTGGGTCATATATTCCAAGACGTAGGCTAGAATCTGTGATTGCGAAGTGCAGTAAATATCCACACCGGTGCAGTGACTGACAGCCACACATTCACCTCAAAACATTAGATTCATCCGCGCTGGAGCCGAGCCGCCACACAACCCACGCAAGGAAGATAATTCCGCAGATAGCTGCAATTGCAGGTTTTCAAACAGAGATGGCGACAAAGAGGCAAAACTTACGGACTGCAGCTTTAAGATTTTTTGATAATACATTTTAGGTGGATGAATTTCTGGTTAAGCATTATTTATGTAAATACTATTTGCTGGAGTTTGCTGCATATGCATATGGAATTCTAAAATATGCATGTTCATCTAATCTGTAAATCTAATTTAGGGTTAATAGGCCACTGCTGCTTTTATCACTTATGTCACAGTTCTTCAGGCATTCCCCCACCTCCACCTTTATTTCTAACATTTCAGCTCTATTTTAATCTCCTAGTAGGTTAAAGGAGGGGAAATTAGAGTTTGAGCCTCACCTCCACCTTTATTTCTAACATTTCAGCTCTATTTTAATCTCCTACTAGTAGGTTAAAGGAGGGGAAATTAGAGTTTGAGCCCCCTTATTGCAGAATGACAGCTGTTTACCTTTATCTTGCAAAGATTATATGGACATATGAACTCCTGAAAATGCTTTAGGGATATTTACGTTACAACCCTTCCTTGTATCATTGCATGGATGTCATGTAAATGATACTAGGATGACATGGCCATGACACAACAACATTGCACAAGCAAGACTACATTTTGTTTAATGGTAGATAGAGCATAAGTTGTATTTAACCTGCAATGTTCATTGAACAAGAAGAAAAGCCGTTTAGTAAAGACTGACCTGGAAAAAAATGACAAAAGCCAGGCGTGCAGCGAGCACAGACCAGTACTGCTTAGAAAGCTGGTAAGACTCGGGAGACCAGGGTGGATCTCGATAGTCTTTGTACCTGTGAAGATGATGAATTGTTGAGTAGAAGAAAGAATGATACCAGATAATGTAGGCGAGTAGAGTTCATGAGTATGAGGGTATCGAGTGTGTGTTGTGTGTACCTGCAAATACGGAGTTGTCTGTCAAAGTCTGTATCATGTGGGGCAGTTCCAGGTTTAAAGTTGCTCGTGTTGAAATAAGCCAGTGTATGGTTGGTATAACCATGCATGGTGCCTGTCTCACTGTACAAATACTGATACACCATCCGAGGAATGAACTCCGATGTAAAGGAGATCACAAATGCCTTGAGGGAAAGAGAGATAGCAGGAGGAAGAACCTTAAAATCTCTGCATGCAATGAGATAAATCATATTAAACACAGCCAGCAACTAAATCTGAAATTTGTTTCATCGTAAGTCACAATCTCTGTTTAACACTCACATTTGTAATGACAGCAAACTTGCTGATTCCACTCAAGATGTTGTACCATATGCCTGGAAAAGGGAAGATAAATATGTGACAGTGTGAACTAGATTAAATAACAGTTATGTTAAGTGCATAGTCATGAGCAATTCTGTACATATTTGCTGCAAAATTTCATACCAATCTCTTTAGCACTGACTGCATCAGGCCGGCGTATTTCAGTGACGAATTTTGCCGCATCTAGTCGGATTTCAATGACGTTATTAAGCAGAGCGAAAACTGGTGCCAGCGGGAAGGAGGCCACAAAGAGTGTGACAAATCCATACTGAATAACTGCAGACAAACAAACACACACATACACAAATGATCCATGTCCTTAATCAAACCCAGTTCTTCAAAGTCATCGTGGGCCTCTTTAAACACCGTTTCTAAACCTCTTCTATGGAAAAACTAATAATAGAATGTATAGAGCAGGTGTTGGCATCCATTTTAACATTTTTATATCTCTTATTAATCAATGTGCCACTATGGCTTCCTTTACAGCTGTGTGACTACGGGGAAGGATTACTAACGTATTTTGCCATACAGATGTGAGGGATTTCAAAATAAACAACTAAATAAAATAATACATGTAATATTCCTCTCCCTTTGTGACAGAAGGTTACCGACCACTGTCAGAGTCTCTGAAGTTGTAGTTGAAGTAGAAGTTGTGATAGACAGAAAAGCAAAGGAAACATATTAAGTGTCAGTCTTCAAGGCGTACAAAGCTTATTGACCCACAGAATTGGCACTGGTAACTGTTAACCAACATGACCAATCCAATCTACCAATACAGGGTTAACCCGATTAACATTTATTTACATCTATCATAGGTCATTGCCAATATGATACTGTTGTATTGTTTCCTTCAATCAAACAGTGTCTATGCTCTCTCTATCAAGATCATTCCTTGAGTATCCCGTTTTAGGTAGGTGTGGCTGACTCTTAACTTTTATAAAGAATATCTCTTTGGATTTGAGACTTTAGTCTTTGCAACTTTACAGATCTTTTTTATGCACCAAGAGCTTGTAACACTCCAAAGAGAAAGGAAAAATTGAAGTCGCATCATATGACCCCTTTAAGACACAGTCTTCACATGGTGGCTTTGTTTATGCAACTGGCCCCAAAGAATGCAAAATCTAAGGTTAATTCTGATTGGTCTGTAGCGCCCAGAGTATAGGTACTTCATGATGTTAAATGACTAGCAGTTATATTTTTATACAATAAATAATAATTATTTTGAAAGTTATTATATTATTACAGCTATCAAAGCCAACTATAAACAGTATTCACATTGTACTTTTATAATGTGATGGAGCAAATAAATTTTTTTTGAAGAAATCTACAAAAGGAGGAATTAAGTACACTGATGAATGACTCAAAATAAGACCAGGAACATGTATTAAGAAAATAAAAATTTTCTTGACAATAAAAAGCAATTTTAGAAAAAAACTTTAAGCCACAACACTGTCATTAAGTTATGTACAACCAAATGAGGCTTTCATGTTGCAGGTTGACTGCATTTAAAACAAGTAGAACAATGAAGGTGATGCAGTACTCACCCATCTCCATGTACTCTGGGCTCAATCCCTCATATGGCTCCAGGTTGTAGTCCAAATCCCAGCGCTGTGGTTCTCGTTTGGAATCTTTGTCCTCCTCATCTGCCGATCCATCTTTCTCCTCCTTATACGTGCGATACATCTTCTTCAGCTTTCTGTAATGTCAACAGATTTGGCTGTGTCATTTTAAACACTTCTTCCATCACTCACTGTGCACTGCGTTAGTAATGTTAAACGGTGTGGAGAATTAAAAATTTAATTTAACAAGAGAGTTAGGGGCTTCCTCTAATAGACTGGGGATACATTGCGGAATACAAGAAAATTAGCAGAGGGACCACAGGGAAGACTTTGCATGTGTGTATGTGCGTGTATACGTACGGAATGGCAATTTCAAACACATTATTCTGAATGAGCTGTTTTCCCAACATAATGATTCCCAGCTGAATACACACTTCAATAAGACAGCCACCTGGAGAACACTGGACCAAAAACACATGTACATGCAAATAGTTAGTGACAGTATGCTAAAACACTGATGACAAACATATTATCGTTTTAATAATTACCTCTTCCATGCGGAAATCCTTAAAGACATAAACATAGTCACCCGGATGACCGGCAAACCTAAATTAGCACACCAGAGTTATGAGGGGTATTTTAAAATACCGACAATGCTACTATTCTCTGGATTAAACAATGCTAACCCAGAAATTCTGCATTTTTGTGCTAGACACTAAAGCCGCACATACTAAACTACAACATAATGGTGTACTGTTCAGCAACACAACACTATATAGACATACAACAACACTACATGTAACACACAGACACCACAAAACAGGCTGTTATAGAATTATAATTTGCATCTGGAATTTAGACATGAATAAAAAAAATTATTAATAAAATATGATGATATATTTTTGAATTGAGTAAAAAAGGGGTAAAATAATTTTGAGAAAAATGCATTTTCAAGTGCACAACATGGGACTTGTATACAATAATTACATGAAAGATCATATTCAACAAGTAATATATAGTAAAAAAAATTAAATAGAAAATATAAAAAATATAGAAAATTACTGTAGAATATCATATTTTGACAGCACTTTACAATAAGTTCCCATTAGTTCATGTTTTAACTAAAAATGAGCAATACATTTGTTACTGTGCTTATTAAAATTTTAACATTAATAAAAATACTTGTTAGTTCAGGTCCATTAAATAATATTAACAAATACAACTTTTGATTTTTATAATATATTATTATGTGTATGTTGAAATATTAACTAAGATTATTAATCGATTTTTCTTTGTTAGTTTATGTTTACTAGTGTAGTTAACTAATGTTAACAAATGGAACCTTACTATAAAGTGTTACCAATATTTTTTGTTTCTCAGTGTTGCATGATTTTAGGTTAACAATTTGTTTTTAATATATATATATATATATATATAAATAAATGTTCCTATGAAACAAATGCTCAAAGTGATATATACAATAAAGACGAACATAGATAACATTCTCAACAATGCCGTACACAGGACAGTCACACAACACTACAGAATACAGTAGACACTAGTGTAGACACAACACTACATACAAACACAATACTACAGTAAGCGCACCACTACACTGCAACACACTGGACATGATAAACAACCACAAAGTACATTATAATAATCCAATTATCATTGCTCGCAACAGAGACAAAACATCACGTTAGTTTGTGTGGGTATGCTAATGGGATGCCATTTTACCTGCCCTTAAAGAAGGCCACATAGAAGACAGGTGCAAATGCATTCATGCTCTTCAGCAAAAAAGCTTTCAAGATCACATGCTCCTCAAATGTCGATTCAGTCTTTGGAATCTCTGCAAGTATGACATTAATATCATATTCATAATAATCATCATTGGTAATGCATGATCTTTTCTTCGTTAGAGTCACCCTTTTATCAAGAAAACATTTTTTGAATGCAACACATTTAATCTTTTGTCATGTAAACACACACACACGCACACACACACACACACCAAGCTCTGTAATCCAGGCCGCTATAGCGCCGTAGATCTCATCCAGCACCAGAACCACCAGCAAGTTGATGATGACAGCGGTGGTTGTCACGGTTACACGCACATTAGCCTTGGCCTCGTGATCAGGGTTCATTGACATAACGGCAAACACAATGATGCGGTAGAGAATCACTCCAGACACGGCAGAGAACGTGACCCCAACCTGAGAGAACAGATAAATAAGAATTTTAAGCATAAAAGCAATGTGACAAATGCTCTTATGGGGAAAGGTACCCACCATAAGGAGGATAGAGGATATGTTGATGCAGTATCCTGGCAGCCGGTCTGTCCATGACAAAGACTCGGAGGCAAGCTACAAGAACAACAGGATGTTACTTAATGCTCACCATATCAGCTGGTAATACACTAGCTACTTGACTACCATAATCACATTTTGCCTGAAACTAATAAGCAATAATGATTTTTGTTATGGCAATAAACAATATGATGGCCCATACTATACATCTATACCAGGGGTGCCCAATCCTGTTCCTGGAGATCTACCTACTGTACCTGCAGAGTTCAGCTCCAACCCTGATTAAACGCGTCTCAACCAGCTAATTAAGCTCTTCAGGAGCATTTGATAATTACAGACAGGTGTGTTTGATCAGGGTTGGAACTGAACTCTGCAGGTAGGTGGATCTTCAGGAACAGGATTGGTCTATATTGGTCTGTTTAGTGTTTTTTTTTAACCAGAATAATGTAATAAATAATTAAAGTTCATTAAAGAAGCACCACAGTATTTACATTTTTTTGTAAAATCAACCTATATTAATTGGTTACTTATGCCTAAAAAAATGAAATAAAAAAAAAATATGCTAATATTGACCATTACCAATCTGGCCTCCAATATAAGTTATTCAGTTAAAAACACTATTAGTGTTAAAAACACTATTAAATATTAGTTTACAAAATCTATAGCTGTTGTAGTGGTTTTGTGCATCAGAACAGGAAATAGTTTTGAACTTGGAACAAACTAATCATTGAAACTAAGTATGGGTGATTAGATTGAAGTACTGAAGTTAATGAACAACACGGATCCAACCCTCCCCCAGATGCGCACGCATGAAATCTGAATTAAAACACTACACTCTCAGGTACACGCATATACACAGTGAACATGTGTCTTTGATTAGAGGAAGGACACCACTATAACTTGTGTGTTTTAATCCAGCTCTGACTCTAATCCTGCATAATCTAGTGTGGAATACCCAGAGAGGTAATCTGCTTTGAGTGCCGTGTGTAGTAAGCGTGTACACCACAGTAGTGTTTGAGCACGTACGTGTGTTGTTTGTATGCACCGCAGACCTGACACTGTACAAGGGCACAATGGCAGTAACAAAAATCCGCAAAATCACATCAAGTGAAATTGCGACCAAACTGCTCATTTCAGACAGGAAAAACACAGTGCCAATGTTGTCCAACTGACTGTGTAGTTCATTATCTAATTAATTAAATTGTCAGAAAGAATGAGAAGAAAAAGATAAGAGAGTGCTAATGTGGGGTGTGATAAGAAGAAGGACGGATATGAGCCGGGTGGGCAGGAGGGGTCCGAGGGAGGTCAGTGCAGTGACCACTCGATTACTGACAGCTGAGAACTAACTGTATTATCCCTGAAGCCCCGCCTCTTCTGGTTAAGTTGATTAGCTCACTCTCTCATAGACAGACACAGTAAACTGTCAAATTATCTCCCCCCTCCTCACCGGTGACTGTCCTCCTTTAGCAGACAGTAGCTTCTCTCTTCCTTTGTCATCCGTTCCTGCGTCCGGCTAGAACACAGAGCAGAGATTAAAAGCACTGCGCACACACACTCATTCTCTTACATCTACTTGGAAAAATGTGCAAGGTATTCCAGGTATTTCAGCTCAGTGCATTTTTACGCAATAATTAAATTAAAGTGAAAATTAAGACTTCACCTTGAGATCCTAAATTGATAGTGGTAAGTGATTAATAGTGATTAAAAAGAATTTGCAGATTTCCTCTCAGACCTATTGGTTAATGTTGATAAAGGGCTAATTGTCTGAGACTTTAACATTCATATTGATAATACAAATGATGCATTAGGAAATTGCACTTACAGACTTAATAAACTCTTTTGGGGTCAAGCAAAATGTCACCAGACCCACTCATCATTTTAATCATACGCTAGATTTACTTATATTGCATTGAATTGATCTTACTGATATAGATATTGTACCTCAAAGTGATGATGATACTGGCAACTACCTTGTATCATGCATGCTGCGTATTACTGATATTAACTATATCGCTCCGCTGTATCGTCCGAATAGAACTATTGTTTCAACCACTAAAGATAGATTCACAAATAACCTGCCTGATTTGTCTCAACTGCTCTGTGTACCCATAAATGCACATGAACTAGATGAAATGACTAGCAATATGGGAACTATCTTCTCTAATACATTAGAAGCTGTTGCCCCCGTCAAATTAAAAAAGGTTAGAGAAAAACATACTGTGCCATGGTACAACAGCAATACTCATTCTCTCAAGAAAGAAACTCGTAATCTTGATACAATAACAAATGTAGAATCTACAGCATTTTGTAATTCAGCTTCATTCATCGCACCCTAAAAAAAATTGCAGTGCTTTACAACTACAGGACAGGAACAGCTAAATAAACTTATCACTGCATCTAAACCAACAACATGTTTATTAGATCCGGTACCAACTAAATTTCTGAAAGAGTTGTTACCTGTAGCAGAAGAACCGCTTCTCAATATTATTAACTCATCGTTACCTCTTGGTCACATCCCAAAACCTTTCAAGCTGGTGGTTATTAAGCCTCTTATTAAGAAACCACAACTAGATCCTAGTGAACTGGCTAATTACAGACCCATTTCAAATCTTCCATTTATGTCTAAAAATTTTTAGAAAAGTTGTCTGCTCAATTATTGTGCTCCTTCCTGCAAAAAATAATATCTATGAAGAATTTCAGTCAGGTTTCAGGCCCCATCATAGCACAGAAACTGCACTATTTAAAATTACAAAAGACTTGCTTCTTGGGTCAGACCAAGGCTGCATCTCATTGCTAGTTTTACTTGATCATAATGCTGCGTTCGACACTATAGATCATGACATACTCATAGATCGATTACAAAACTATACAGGTATTCAAGGGCAGGCTTTAAGATGGTTTAGATCCTACCCGTCCGATCGTTATCACTTTGTCTATTTAAATGGTGAGTCATCTCAATTATCGGCAGAAAAGTATGGAGTGCCGCAAGGATCTGTCTTAGGCCCTCTGCTATTTTCAATATACATGTTGCCCCTTGGTAATACTATTTCCTGTGTCCTATATAGATTAGTTACTATATAGATTAGTTACTAAATAGATTAGTTTCCATTGTTATGCGGATGATACTCAACAGAAGAACCGCTTCTCAATATTATTAACTCGTCGTTGTCTTTAGGTCACGTCCCAAAACCATTCAAGCTGGCGGTTATTAAGCCTCTTATTAAGAAACCACAACTAGATCCTAGTGAATTGGCAAATTACAGACCCATCTCAAATCTTCCTTTTATGTCTAAAATTTTAGAAAAAGTTGTGTCTGCTCAATTGCGCTCCTTCCTGCAAAAAAATGATCTCTATGAAGAATTTCAGTTAGGTTTCAGGCCCCACCATAGCACAGAAACTGCACTTGTTAAAATTACAAATGACTTGCTTCTTGCGTCAGACCAAGGCTGTATCTCATTGCTAGTTTTACTTGATCTTAGTGCTGCGTTCGTCACTATAGATCATGACATACTCATAGATCGATTACAAAACTATACAGGTATTCAAGGGCAGGCTTTAAGATGGTTTAGATCCTACCTGTCCGATCGCTACCATTTTGTTCATTTAAATGGGGAGTCATCTCGATTATCACCAGTAAAATATGGAGTGCCACAAGGATCTGTCCTAGGTCCTCTGCTATTTTCAATATACGTGTTGCCCCTTGGTAATATTATTAGAAAGTACGGGATTAGTTTCCATTGTTATGCGGATGATACTCAACTATATATTTCAACAAGACCAGATGAAACTTCTAAATTATCTAAGTAACAGAGTGTGTTAAATATGTAAAATATTGGATGACCAATAATTTTCTCCAATTAAATTCAGATAAGACAGAGATATTAATTATTGGACTAAAAAGAACAGTACACAGAATCCCTTAGATTACAATTTGCATCTAGACGGATGTACTGTTACTTCCTTTACAGTCAAAAATGTGGGTGTTATATTAGACAGCAACTTGTCTTTTGAAGATCATATTCCACATAACAGCATTCTTCCGTCTTAGAAACATTGCCAAGCTACGAAACATGTTACCTGTTTCTGATGCAGGAAAGCTAGTTCATGCATTCATGACCTCTAGACTGGACTATTGTAATGCACTGCTAGGTGGTTGTCCTGCATCTTCAATAAACAAGCTACAGGTAGTCCAAAATGCAGCGGCTAGAGTCCTTACCAGGTCAAGAAAATATGATCATATTACCCCAATTTTACAGTCTCTGCACTGGCTACCTATTAAGTTCCGTATCAGTTACAAAATATTACTACTTACTTGTAAGGCCCTAAATGGTTTAGCTCCTGCGTACCTAACTAGTCTTCTATCATGCTACAGTACAATACATCACCTCCCTAAGGTCGCGAAATTCTGGACTTTTGGTAATACCTTAGCAAAGTCCACTAAAAGATGTAGAACTTTTTCACATTTGGCTCCCAAACTCAGACACAGGGGTTCAGACACACGCTCTCTGTTTGAATCTAGATTAAAGACACATCTCTTTAGCTAAGCATTGACATAATGTATCTCATAACCTTGTACTTCAGTTTTATCTGATCAAATGCACATTATCATTCTTTGCCTGGTTTGAACACATTATAGTTTTTTGCTTGGTTTGAACAGCAGCTATGCTAATTTAAAAATGTCTCTATTTGCTTCTCTGTTTCTGCCATGGGATGGGCATCCCCAGGTAACTAGGAATTACACAAGCTTCAGTCTGAATCCAGCCCTTACAAAGATCTGAGATGACTGAACACCTGAGAAGAGATAACTACCAAATTTTGCTATAAGTTTGCTATGTTCATTTTGCTATATTAATAGTGTTCACCATTTGTTTGAATACAAGTCATTAACTAACTGCATGATTTTTACTGTACATTTCTGCCATATGGACATCACCTTAACATAGTCACCACTGATAAGCTACTCCTAAATATAATGTAGAAAGTTAGAAACTTACATTTTCTGTGAAGCTGCTTTCTTTGCAAGGATTTGTATAATCAAAAGCGCTATACAAATAAACGTGCATTGAATTGAAAAAGAACTTTACAGTAAAAACACATTTATTAAACAAAATAAATAATAAAAATGTGTATATTTTGGAATATCTGTCATACTTTCCTAAATAATCCTAATGAGAAAAGGCCCTACTAGAAAAACCAAAACTCCTATAGACTTTCCTACAGACTTCCTTTTAATTGTTTTGTTTTGTTTTAGATACTAGAGATAATTTCTTTCATAATTTCTTTGAAAAAAAAAATCCTAATAGGAGTTTAATAAGAAACTGGATAAACTAAAATTCCTAATGACATTCCAAGATTTTTTACTAGAGTTAATCATTAAAATTACAATAATTGTTATACATTACAAAAAATATACAAATTATTAAAATAAAATAAAATATGTGCACATTCCTTCAGAAATGATTGTGTTAAGTCTATATCCTTGTTCAGTAATTCTTTTTATTTATTTTTTTAAATCAAAGATGAGAGCTGATATTTGCAATTATATTAGGGAATTGTGATTTCCAAGCTCATAGAAATTATTAAAATTATAAGAAGACGTGAAGAAGTTATGGTCATAGTAAATATAAATTTTTCTAGTTATATTCAACTCTAAAGTTATTTTTTTTATAATTATAACTGTAGTACTGTTTAATAATTAAAAATATAATATTTTATAATTATAATTATTACTCTTTATGAGTACAATCTTTATAAAATTATTATTTTTATTTATTCAGTAATCACAAACAACTATGTTATGTTATGTGAAAATGTTATGGAAAATCATGGAAATTCATTGGTCAAATGCATGCGAGAACCTTAGTTTTGTACATAATCGTGCAGTTTACCTCTTCCTTCTTCTTCTTCTTTGCCTTCTTCTCTTGTTTCTTAAGGAGAAAGTCCTCATATGCTGGTCGTAGCTCATTCTGTGATATAAACACACACATATACATCAAGCTCAGTGATCAAGGACTCCAAAGATGTCAAAAAGCAGCAAATTCAACATCAGTTCCATAGACACGCATAAGCAAAATGGTCTTCATAGAAACAGGATTCACAAACACATGCACAAATAGAAATAATTATCTTGGTTCCACATTAAATCATTTTCTTGTCTTGAGGCAAAGACGCCAATATGGTACAAAACTGCAAGTTCATTATAAAGCTTTTCTGGCTAATATGTGAACACAAGAGTGGTATATAGTTGTACGTTCAACACACAATGCTTAAGCTGATATATTTATGACACAGAATGTGTTTCAAGCAGACAGGTAGCATTTTCAACTTCACAAATAAGGTCGTGATTATCTGGCAAGAACACTGTGGTCAGGATTATGGCATCGAGGTTAATGGTATAAAATCGGGGTAAAGGATTCGTTGACACACAGGTTACTACAAAGTTAATCCACTGTAAATCTCCCCTCTTCCTACGAATTCAGGGTTGATTCATCAAACAGCGTCACCATGCACCATACACACAATTGACCTTCCTGCTGAGCAGAAAAATGCAAACGGGAGATGGAGCACTGATGAGGGTGGGGGAAGTGTGAGGGACGCGGAGAGAAATATGGTGTGCATTTGAGCGTGTCGGGAACAATATAGAAACAGAGAAAGAGAAGGAGAGCAAGAGATAGGTTTACCTCAGCCCTTTCCTATCAGTGAGCATGAAAGCAAAGAAAACATGGCGTTAGACACATATTTACACTATTTAATATGCAGAGTAATTGAAGTTCATTATCGTTCACATTAGCATGTCGCTCATGATCTCCATGGCGTCCTGTTGAAAGCGCAGTCCTTCATCCACTCAGCTCAATGCTTTAAGCAGAAACAATCTCATTACTCACACATGTCCTTTCACACACACACATCCCCGCCACCCTCTCCCACCACTGACACAATACACACACACACACACACACACTTCAGACTGAATCAGCTCCCAGGTGAATGGTTCAAACCCTCAAGAACAATGAAAGCTTGAATTTTCATAAACCTAATGAAGAGCAGGCCATCAGCAGTCAGCGCGAGGGTCTGTTAGAGTCGCACTAGATAGAATTGGCTATTATGTATGATTATGTTTAGCAATGCTTTATGAACTGTGTTGCTACGAGTTTCCGCTGATGTTCATAGATGAGATTCTGGTGTGGTTTTTAAGGGGGCAGCTATATTATAGAATGTGCATACTAATGATTACACCACTGCTAGGACGTGATGCTAAACATGACATGAACATCGAGGATAATGTCATCTATATGCTTATCGTACTTTTATTCAGCAAGGATGCATTAAATGATTCAAAAGTGACAGTAAAGGCATCTAAAATGTTAAAAAAGAGTTATGTTAATTACAAATAAATGCTGTTCTTTTCAACTTTATTCATCAAAGAATCCTGAAAAATGTATGCATGCACCAAATCAGCATATTAGAATGATTTCTGAAGGATCATGTGACACTGAAGACTGGAGCAATGATGCTGAAAATTCCACTTTTTCATCACAGGAATAAATTACATTTTAAAATATAAAGTGACGTGACGTGGCCAAGTATGGTTACCCATACTCGGAATTAGTGCTCTGCATTTAACTCATCCTAAGTGTACACACACAGCAGTGAACACACACACCGTGAACACACATTGTGTAAATGTAATAATCACACAAATTGTAATAATATTTCACAACAAACAAATGCTGCCCAGGTCAGGATAAGAGACTTCTTGTTCTTTCAAAAACATTACAAATTATTGAGACATTGTGCACAAACAAGTTTTTGTCCAATCAGCTATTCTCTACAATGAGATTGTCCCTTCCTTTACTACAAACTGCAACAAATCTTTGCTCGAGGCTGACTAGACTTAAAAGCCTACTGGCTATTTTTTTTAATTTTTTTTGAAAGGACACATCCTTTGATGTGCCTGTCCAAACTTCTGTTTTCAATCAGAATTCCTATCAGTGAGCAGCATTTTTAACAGACTTAATGATGCAGTCACAGATATGCATATGTCAGCTATTTTACAGCTTCAAAAAATAGATTTTAGAGCTGCTGCCATTTAATAATGAATGTTAGAGATGGTCTGTGACTTTGATTAAATGCTTTGGACTTTTCTCACCTCATCGTCTTCCATTCCTGTCAGATCCCAGCTGTGCTGTAAACATCGCTGCCTCCTCTTCCAGTGCTCTAGAAACACTGCCGCTAAACACACACACACACACACACACACACAATTATCACAAAATTATCTATTATACCACCTTATTTCTTCTCAATATAAATGTACAGTAAACCCATAGTTTATCATCAAATGCACATATTCATACAGCTCATACCCCAGAGGGACATAAAGATGGCGAAGCCCACGGTGGCGTGGTTATCAAACAGATAGCTGGCACGCGCCGTACTGCAGATACTGCTCAGCTGCCAGTAATCACACACACGATCACATAGAGGACACATGGTGAAATTAAGATGCTCATCACACATCTCTTGACTGAAATTTTTTTTTTCCCTCGTGCCTCACAAATTTTTGAAAAAATATCAAAACAAAACCTCACGAAACAACCCCGGAAAAAGGCTTCTTAAAGCAAATAAATCAATGTAATTAAAATATAAATAATCCAAAGTACATATCAGAGTTACGTTTTATTTAAAACATTTAGCTTATATTAAGAAAAAAAGACTTTACCTGGGCACATTGGTGTCTACGGTGAGGCAGCCGTACAGAAATACTGCGACTCCTAAAGCCGAGGCTGGAATCAGCAGCTGTGTGTACACTCCCAACCAGGCAAAATACAGGCCAATCTTCTCTCCAAAGTACTTCCTGTTAAATACAGTTAAACGGGTACAGAAATATTATGAATTTGACAAGGTAAACAACACTGAACACCAGCACATGCAAAAACGCTGATTTCAAAAGGTGACTGCACAGAATGTGAACCTGGCTGCAATTGAAATTGAATGCCATTCACAAAGCTTCACATATCCTCCACCTCTTGTATATTTATTTATTAAAATATTTTGGCTATTTTGATTATGCTTTCAGCAACCAATAAAAGTGGAAGCTACATTTTGCCATATCTAGGTCTGGAGATTTTCCCCATAATCAGCTCAGAAAATATCAGTTTGCAGACTCCATGTGAGCCAACTGATAAGTAATACGTTTACTATAATCTTACTATTGTACTTTCAAAGACATACTGTCTGCTGTGCTGTATACAGCATGCATGCCATACAGTGGGCACGTATTTAATATTTGTGATATCCAGATGGCATATTACATTTACCAGATGCAATGCGGCTTCATTGAAGCTTAAAAAAAGCTGGATTTTTGCAAGTGATAGGTCATTTTATAATGTTTTATTATCCTGATAAATGTAAACATCTATGTTTGTTTGATAAGCATTTTGGGATCGGCAGAATTAGATTCTCAGAAAGGAGAACCAGTCAGTAACCATCTGTGTACTGAACAACATCTTTCACAGAACCAGAAGGTGGTGATGTACATCATGTCTGATACCTTATAAGGTCCATTGGCTGATATTTGTAGCAAGCTCCATAATTGGCCCATTCCTTATGCAACATCTGCAATACGCAAAACACATTCATTACCGGTTCAGATTTTCAAAACTAACATATTCTTTGTATCTTCTTAGAGACGACACACACAAGTATATCTTACAGTAATAAGCAGCTTATTGTCATTTTATCAATCAAAAGCCTTTCCTAAATGTCACCGTGTGACTTGCTGCCGTTCAGGACTCACCTGTCTGTCGTTGCGATGCTCTTTATCTTCTGAGCTGTCAAAGTCTCCCTGCAGCAATGACAACACACAAAGCTCTACCCAAACCACATCACACATTTACACTGAACTAACAGACGAATTACAAATCAGCTGTATTAAACTGGGCAAAATGCATTACTTACATCATGCAGAGGGAAGGCAGAATCATAAACCCCTTTAGCTAGCAGTGATGAAATACCTGAGACAGAAAAGAGAGAAAATTTGATTATCTGTAGTTAAAATATTTCATGAAACATTGTCAGTTAAACAATCCAATTTAAAAGAGTATGGTATATTTGTGGAGTTGGCATCTCCAGGAACATACCCATAGTTTGACAGGTCTGTGTGCAGGCTGTACGCCTCAGAATTTCATAAACCTATGAAAGAGCATGGACGCAACAGAATAATACATTAAAAAATTAATAAACTCAAACATAAATTAATAGAATAGTTCATCCAAAAATGAAAATTATATATTTTCTTATCTGATAACTATTTCAATATAATGAACATGGACTGTGGTTGTCAAGCTGAAAATGACTAAAAACCACAATAAAGTATTTTAAACATGGCCCATATGGAATATGCATTTAGTCGTAAGATATATACATTTTGTGTGAGAGACAGACTGAAGTTGAAGATGTTATTCGCTGAACATTCAGCTCAGTTCTTCTGGGCATGTTCATGTGAGTTCATGAGCTATGTAGTGATGTCTAATTCATAAATTGTTCTTTTTGAGTCAATTCTTTACAGTGAATTGGCTGACAAAACCAATTTGAATAATTCATTCTTGATTCATTCAGCTCACTGACTCAATGATCCGGTCACAGAGGTTAAAAGCCTAATGGAAGTGAATACAGACATGTATTTTGTCTGATAATGAATGGCACACAAATGGTATGGTTTATTGATACTTTTATGGTGTAAGCTCCAGTCCTCTATCCTCAATCTTTCTAACTGTATGAGGAAAAATTACCATTGCATCATTCAGAATTACTCCCTTTGTGTTCCACAGAAAAACGAACCTTTAGAACAATATAATTTGACATAATTTTCATTTCTGGCTGAACTGTTGCTTTAAAATCAGTTCTAATGTGTCCAGATGTGTATAATCATTCTGTTTCGTTTATACCGATACTTACAGTTCGACCTCGTATTGCATTGCTGAACAAGCTGTTTTTCGACTTTATATCAAATCTGCAAAATTAAAGAAAACTAATTAGGCCAGTGTGTGGGCTTGCTATTTGTAAATGCTCTTTTATGACATTCTGGCTGTCAGCGAATGTTGGCACTCACAGGTGTAGCTTGTCTCTGCTGAACGGTTGGGATAGCACCCGTGTGCGTGGGTCTTGGGGCTGGAACGGCTGATTGATCTTTGTCCAAAACGTGCTTATTACGCCCATGAGCCCCGTCTTCTCTTTCAGTTGATATGTCTGGAAAAACAACCATAACGGAACTGAAATTAAACAGAGATTAATCCATTTATAGCCAGAGCTAAAGAGAGATGAGACACACTAAAAGTTGAGACCAGGGTCAGACGATTTAACACCACAAATGTGGAATGGTAATATCTTGTTTTGGGGGCAAACAAAGCACATGTGGGATGTGGGTCTATATGTCTCAACAGCTAATCCACCATTATCAGATTATATCATTCAATACAACTCACCACCTCAAAGGATAAATCATTCTTTCAGGATGTTGCTCTAAGCCACATCTATAAATGTATGGGAAAACATGACACTAACATTCATCTTAGTATGCAGTCTATATGACAAAACTTTTTACAAGAAATCGGCTTGCTGACTGTGTAATCAGATCTTTTTTTTTCTCTGCAGTGTTCAGACTTTGAGAATTGACTTTTGGCATTCCAACTGCTCGTAGACCGCGCCAAACCAGAGCACTTACAAAGATCATCATGGAGCCAAAGCTCTTAACACCAAAAACATGACACTGATGGGCTGTGTCAGTGTCCACATTTGTCCATACTTAATATATATATATATGTGTATATACACGTATAGAGTTTTGGTCATTCAAATTAGCTTTCATGGTTATCGAATGGTGTTAAAAACCTTCCCATTCACTAATACAATGTGAAATATCCTAGCATTTTACCTACACTGCAAATGACCATTCTAGCCGTTAGCTAGAAGCGAGACTTCAGCATCAGTAAAATGGGTTAAACTTAATATTCTACTTTATTTTATTTTCAAGATATTGGTCTAAAAATGAACGGTATATTTTAGAATAGCAGGTTTTTTTTTTACATTTCTCAAAAGATGATTTAAAAAGTCTGTGAGGCATCATGAGCTGGCTTTGACAAAATGTCAGAAGTTAAATACAGAAATTTGTAGGAATCAATTCAATCAATCAATTCAATTTATATAAATAGAAGGGTGAAAAAAAGATAAGATATAAGATAAGTTTTTTTTAAAGAAGTCTCTTATGCTCACATAGGCTACATTTATTTAATCAAAGATACAGTTATATTGTAAAATATTACTACAAATTTAAATAAATATTAACTATATATATTAATATATTTTAAAATGTAATTTTCAGCATCATTAGTTCAGTCTTCAGTGTCACATGATCCTTCAGAAATCATTCTAATATGCTGATTTGCTGCTCAAGAAACATTTCTTATTATCAATACTGAAAACAGTTGTGCTGCTTAAAGGGGTCCTATTATGCTCTTTTACAAAGTCTTGATTTTGTTTTGGGGGTGTACTAGAACAGGCTCTCATACTAGGTTGTTCGAAAAATACATTATTTTTCACATATTTTACATTATTACAACACCTCTCTCCCCAGTCTTGCATGAACGGCTCGAATAGTTCTTGTATCAAATGAAGGCCCGCCTTCTGAAATACAAAATGTGCTGTGATTGGTTAGCTGGGCCAGTGTGTGTTGTGATTGGCAGCACTCGGCACCTGGTCGGGAAATGTCATGCCCCTTACCATAGCCGCCTGCGAGCTTCAGTGTAAAACCAAATACACAAAATAATGTTCTTTTTAGCAGCATCATATGACCCCTTTAAACCCGGATGATTGTAACCACTCTAAGTTCGTCTGCTTTGGGAAAGCTAGCGTGTCTCTGACATAGTGATAACACTCATTACCAGGTCTCGTCCCATTCGTCGATCTTTGTGATATCACAAATCCCGGAAAATGTGCGTTGTAGTCCAAACGAGTCGTTCGTTGTAGTTTTTGAAAAGTGATTTCTGTTAAATAAAATATCTCCTTTTGAAGTGGACTTTGAGCTTTGTAACTTTGCAGATCTTTTTTATGCTCAAACAGCAACATTACAGACTAACTAAAGTTGAAAAAGTGAAAAAGCATAATAGGACCCCTTTAATATTTTTGTGCAAACTGTGATACTTTTTGATGAATAGAAAGTTCAAAAGAACAGAATTTATTTGAAATAGAAGCATCTGAATGTCTTTACCATCACTTTTGGTCAATTTAATGCATCCTTGCTGAATACAAGTTAATATCTTAAAAAAAAACGGTAATGAATGGGGAAAATAAAGAATAGAATAGATGTGCGATGCAAAAATCGGCAAAAATCGGAACCGTCCTACCGGGAGCTAACTGTCACACTGCTGCTGATACTGTGACGGAGCGAGGCACGAAGGAGCGAGGAGACGTAGGGAAATTCTTGAAACAGACTTTATTAATCCAAACCAAAGCAAAGCACACGTAGCAGAGGGAAAAGACAAACAATACTGGATGCTAGACATGGAAAGACACAGGGCTTAAGTAATGGAACTAATAGAGATAACAAAGGGAACACAGGTGGAATCAACTGAACATAATGAGGACAGGAACAGGATGACCAAAAATTGTCATAGAGGAACACGGTGGAAAACCAGGACATGGAGCAAGTGGGGAACAAAATACAAGAAACACAGGCCTGACATTACTCCCCCCTCCCGGAAGGCGCGTCCACGCGCCACACAACATCCAATGGAGAGCGGTACCCATTCCGGGACCCATGGCGGATCAGGCAGTTCAGGACGCCATGGCGGATCAGGCAGTTCAGGGAGTCATGGCGGAGTAGGGAGCTCAGGGGTCCATGGTGGAGCAGGCAGATTAGGGAGCCATGGCGGAGCAGGCAGTTCAGGGGGCCTGGCCTCGGCACTCGGCCCGGCCTCTACTGCCAGAT